GGACAGCCGGGAGACTACAGCCAGAGAGATGGAGGGACAGCCGGGAGACTACAGCCAGAGAGATGGGAGAATGGCTGGAAGACTACAGCCAGAGAGATGGAGGGATGGCCAGGAGGCTACAGCCGGAGAGGTGGAGGAATGGGCAGGAGGCTACAGCCAGAGAGATGGGGAGATGGCCAGGAGGCTACAGCTGGAGAGGTGGAGGAACAGGCAGGAGACTACAACTGGAGAGATGGAGGAACAGCTGCGAGGTTACAGCTGGAGAGATGGAGATGGGAGGGATGGCCGGGAGGCTACACCTGGAGAGATGGTGGTGGGATGGCCCAGGAGGCTACAGCCAGAGGGATGGAGGGAGAGCTGCGAGGCTACAGTTGGAGGGATGAGGCAAGGATGGCTGGAAGGCTACAGCCGGAGGAACAGACTAAGGACAGCACAAACTACCCCTGGCAGGGGAGAGATGGTGAAGGGAGAGCCAGGAAAACAGCTGGAGGAATGGAGTGAGGGCGACTAGGAGACTACAGCTGGAGAGGGAGATGGTGAAAGCCCAGCTGGGCACCTACAGCCGGAGGGACGGGAGGAGGACACCCGGGAGGCTACAGTCGGCGCGAGGCTCACCAATAGTCGGAGTGGGGCAGCTTGAGGCGGGGCTTGGCCAGCGTCATCTGCTGCTCCCGCACCACGTAGGCCAGGACCTCCTCGTCGGAGAGGTGCCGGTAGGGCTGGCTGCCGAACTCGAACAGCTCCCAGAGCGTCACCCCCAGCGACCTGCCGAGCGGGTGCCCGCACCGTCGCACCGGGATGTCGCAACGCCCGGACTCCCCCGGCCGCTGCAGCCTTGCTGCACCGTCGCACCCGGATGCCGTGGCGATGGGACACCGTCGCACTGCGGCTTTGCAACGCTGTCACACCCGGACACCCCCAACGCTGGGACACCGTCGCACCATGGCATTGCAACACCATCACACCCGGACATCCCAACACTGGGATGCTGTCACATCATGATATTGCAACACTGTCACTCCTGTACATGACAACACTGGGATGCTGTCACATCACTGCATTGCAACACCATCACACCTGGACACCACTGCACTGGGAAATGGTTGCACCACGGCATTGCAACACCATCACACCCAGACACCACGACACTGGGACACTCTTGCACCACGGCATTGCAACACTGTCACACCCGGACACCATGGCACTGGGACGCCATCGCACCGTGGCATTGCAACACCACCTACAGCCAGACACTATGATGCTGGGATACTGTTGCACCACAGCATTGCAACACCGTCACACCTGGACACCACAGCACTGGGACACCATCGCACTGCAGCACGGGGGGCATTGCAACACCGTCACACCGGGGACACCGTGGCACCAGGACACGGCAACACTGCGGCACTGGGACGCCACGGGGCCGTCGCATCGGGGCCGGG